GGAAGAGCGTCAACGGAAGGAACAGGAGTTCAGAGCTCAGCCCTTACCGAAAGGCATCAAAAAGCGGGCGCCGGACGAGCAAAACAAACTATTCAAAGAAGTGGCCGCTATATTGAGTAAGAAGAAGGTGGAAGTGGTGGACGAGATCGGCTCCGGGAACTACTCGACCGTCTACTACGGCCTCAATATGGATCAACTCAAACACAACGCCATTAAAGTGATTGACCTGAAGAAGGCGTCCGACAACTATCGCGTGAAGTTTCTGCGCAAAGAGATAACTGTAATGCAAAGAATAAAACACCAAAACATTATCAAGATTTACGATTTGATGCAAACGGACAACAAGATCCTGATCGTCATGGAGTACGCCGTGTATGGCTCGCTGGGCGACTGGTTGAAGGCGAACGGCGCCTTCTCCGAGAAGGACTGCCAACAGGTGTTTAAGTCGATCGTCGAAGGGCTCCGGTATATGCATTCCGTGAACTTTGCGCACCGGGACATGAAGGCCGACAATGTGCTGCTCACGAAGTACTTTGTGCCCAAACTGTCCGATTTCAGTCATTCCCGACAAAGCGATTTGGACCCCAAGGACATGACGCGCGAGAAGTTGAGCCAAACCTTCTGCGGCAGTATTCCTTACTTCCGTAACTTTTGGATCAATTAAAGTATCTAGTTTAAATCTGACCTTGCTATTTTAACATTCACAGCGCCGCAGATCCTCCAACTCAAGGGGTATATGCCCCAGAAGTACGACGTGTGGGCTTCGGGTGTCTTACTGTTCCAGATATTTGAGAATCAGTTCCCGTTTGACCCGAAAGACGAGAAGCAAATGCTGGACAACCAGTTGAGGCGACACTATAGCTATCATAAGACAGTCAGCGACGCGGCCAAAGACGTCATCAGCAAAATGCTGGACCCGAACGAGACCTCTCGCATCACCACAACTGCACTCATTTTGCATCCCTGGGTGAAAGAGGCGAAGCCTATGATGAAGACCGATATGACGCCGGCCAACGCTGATAACAGTCCCACCGGCGGCCCAAACACGACAAACAAAAAACAGAACCAAACAACAGATCCCAATCCCAGAACATAACATACCTATCAGTCCATTATCTCCAGAGAAAAACAACTCTTGTATTGAATGAACACTAAATTTATGTCTAATTATATTTAACGCTTAAAAAGTAAAAACATTTATTCAATTAAAAGTTTTAATGAAAAATCTTTCCCTGATTAAATAAATAATACTTAAAATACATAATGAAATCTGAATTATGAACGCATAAGTTAAGTAAATGGCAAAAAGTTTGAGTGAAGAATAGTTCCCACAATGAAATAGCCGTAAAACCAGAGATGTATGAAATCTGTGCGCCGTTTATGGCTTTTGATTTCATCGGACTCTATGGCCCAATAGATCAACGGTGTGGCCGACATCAACATCCTGGTGGTCACCTGGATGTGCACAAACAGTATACAAAACACAGTCATCGCCAACACGTACACGATATGCACGAAACACTTGTCGTTATTCATAATTGAATGGTATTTCTCGCGGTTCTGGCGGTGGAACTGCTGTGCCATAAGAGACATAAGTCTCGACTTATTGATCACTAAATATCGGAGGCATGTCTTAAGATTGAATGCAATGACTGGGAGGGCGAGCAGAAAGTTTGGTATCTGTTTGAACTCATAATAGGCCAGAAGGCCTACATTCCAGTACCGCTTCTGGATGTATGTGTAGGGCAGTAGTATGTCAGCCATACACCAGTTGGGCATATTGGGGACGCCATCGCAAAACAGTTCCCATGAGTATAGTTGATAGTAGAGGAATGGCAGCGCACATACCAACACATAGAATAATGTCTGCAGGACATGGATGACTAGTCTAGAAAATAGGACAAACCGCCGGTGCATAAAACAGTCATTGATTATATGATTTAGTTTCGTGTATACAATGAATCCAATCGATATAAGGCCTAAAATAGATCACAAAAAAGTCTTAAGCAATGATCACCGAGTGGTATATATCACTGGTTTCATACCATTAGAACGGGTGGCAGAGCTGAGTCCAAAGGCTACCGACGCCCACAACAAGTGTAGCCTATTATCGGACGCGTGAGTGAAGTAAATGCCGCCAAACGTGAGGAATGCGAACAACGACTCGGAATAGTAGGCCGAGAAGAATATGGAGGACGGGTTGTATGCGAACCACTGGACACACTCCGCGGCCATCGACNACATTCACAGCGCCGCAGATCCTCCAACTCAAGGGGTATATGCCCCAGAAGTACGACGTGTGGGCTTCGGGTGTCTTACTGTTCCAGATATTTGAGAATCAGTTCCCGTTTGACCCGAAAGACGAGAAGCAAATGCTGGACAACCAGTTGAGGCGACACTATAGCTATCATAAGACAGTCAGCGACGCGGCCAAAGACGTCATCAGCAAAATGCTGGACCCGAACGAGACCTCTCGCATCACCACAACTGCACTCATTTTGCATCCCTGGGTGAAAGAGGCGAAGCCTATGATGAAGACCGATATGACGCCGGCCACCACTGATAACAGTCCCACCGGCGGCCCAAACACGACAAACAAAAAACAGAACCAAACAACAGATCCCAATCCCAAAACATAACATACCTATCAGTCCATTATCTCCAGAGAAAAACAACTCTTGTATTGAATGAACACTAAATTTATGTCTAATTATATTTAACGCTTAGAAAGTAAAAACATTTATTCAATTAAAAGTTTTAATGAAAAATCTTTCCCTGATTAAATAAATAATACTTAAAATACATAATGAAATCTGAATTATGAACGCATGAGTTAAGTAAATGGCAAAAAGTTTGAGTGAAGAATAGTTCCCACAATGAAATAGCCGTAAAACCAGAGATGTATGAAATCTGTGCGCCGTTTATGGCTTTTGATTTCATCGGACTCTATGGCCCAATAGATCAACGGTGTGGCCGACATCAACATCCTGGTGGTCACCTGGATGTGCACAAATAGTATACAAAACACAGTCATCGCCAACACGTACACGATATGCACGAAACACTTGTCGTTATTCATAATTGAATGGTATTTCTCGCGATTCTGGCGGTGGAACTGCTGTGCCATAAGAGACATAAGTCTCGACTTATTGATCAGTAGATATTGGAGGCATGTCTTAAGATTGAGTGCAATGACTGGGAGGGCGAGCAGAAAGTTTGGTATCTGTTTGAACTCATAATAGGCCAGAAAGCCTACATTCCAGTACCGCTTCTGGATGTATGTGTAGGGCAGTAATATGTCAGCCATACACCACTTGGGCATATTGGGGACACCATCGCAAAACAGTTCCCATGAGTACAGTTGATAGTAGAGGAATGGCAGCGTACATACCAACACATAGAATAATGTCTGCAGGACATGGATGACTAGTCTAGAATATAGGACAAACCGCCGGTGCATAAAACAGTCATTGATTATATGATTTAGTTTCGTGTATACAATGAATCCAATCGATATAAGGCCTAAAATATATCACAAAAAGTCTTAAGTAATGATCACCGAGTGGTATATATCACTGGTTTCATACCATTAGAACGGGTGGCAGAGCTGAGTCCAAAGGCTACCGACGCCCACAACAAGTGTAGCCTATTATCGGACGCGTGAGTGAAGTAAATGCCGCCAAACGTGAGGAATGCGAACAACGACTCGGAATAGTAGGCCGAGAAGAATATGGAGGACGGGTTGTATGCGAACCACTGGACACACTCCGCGGCCATCGACTTATTGGCAAACAATTTGATCGTCAGTTTATACAACACGACAGACGCCGAGACAAACGCCAAGAAGTTCACCACAAAACCGGTCAATAGTATGAGACAGTAGTGCGAGACGAAGAGGTGGTTGTGGCCGACGAGTGACACTTGGATTGTCATCAAAGTGGCGGCCAATTGGCGGATCAGAAGCGGATAGAGCGGGAAGAATGCGAGCCATTCCTCGCGAGCGTAACCACTGGTCGCGATGGCCGTGAAGTACTGCGAATCCCAGCGATTTAGACCATTCAGCGCGTGATATATCACTCGATCGGTGGCGGTCTTCACGTGATTGGCCTCCAAGTTGTTGGTGAAGGCGTCAACTGATTGATGGTCAGGGATCAAGTGGTTGGCGATCAGCTGTAGTGATAGTATCACTAGACGCGACTTCGCCACCACTCTCATGACTGCCAGTAAATCATCGCTCAATACTGGCATCACTTCTTCAGACACCGGTTCCGATCCCAAGACTTGGAGTGATTTTTTTGGTCAAAAGTTTTTGTTTTAATTAAAAGTTTTGCGATTAGTTTGACAACTCGTTTGACAACACATTGCCATAACATTGCGTTATATAACACACGTGTTGTTGTGTTTACCATATCTACCGCTCATAGTAACCGTAAATATAGTTACGTTTAATTGTCTATTGAATTAAAAAGTTTGTGAATTTATTTTTTGGTACATTTTTAGAAATGTTTTTGTATGCCTAAGTGATTAGTTTTGTAACTGTTTTTTGTAAACGAGTTTTATATTATTTTTAAATCGGATTTATAGTGCGATAAAAGTTAGCATTGATTA